CACCAGCCTCGCTCCCAGCCTTTGTCCATACATTAAATCCCTGGCTGAAAATTCAGTTTGGAGCCAAGTACTTGCTAAGAAAACCTTGTTTAAAATATGCTGAACAAAGAGTTATGGAATAGGAAAATTTAATAACAGTCCCACGCTCTTGGAGTTGTGTTTTACTGCAGAATAGCACTATTGCATCTGCAGAATATAGAGGCTCTTAGAATAAATTTCATCTTTGCAGTTTTTCTGGCGTGGATTTTAATTATACACGTTTGCAATATATATACATGAAAGACTATAAATGTGTTTTATACCCTTGAATAGTCTGTTGGTGATGCTTTTAGATGTGCATTGGTCATTAGTGAAAATAATGTTAATTTTGTGGCAACACCCTGTGTGTGCTGTTCCTGTCAGTCCTGGTTTCATTGATTACCATCTGTATTATCAGATAGAACAGCAAAGGAATTAATAAAGACTAGAAATTGCTCTAGTCTGAGGGTTCATTTGGAATGAAGTTAATTTTTTTAGGAAAAAAAAAAAGATCTGTGCTGAGGCTACAGGGGAGCTATTAGTAAGGTATTAATACAGGGCATCTGCATCACCATTAAAACTCTAAGATGGTCCAAAGTCACTCCTGTCTCCATAAATCCAGGCATGAATTGGGTGATGGACTTGCATCTGCTGCTTTAAGAGAAGGAAGTGTTTGGATTTATAGTCCCATGGGCAGGGCAATGAAGGAGGAAGAAGATTTCACTTCCTTTGAAGTTTAATGAAGTGAATCTCACATAATGGAAGTGATCTTGTCTCTCTCTGAACATGATGAAGTTCTCCAGTAAATGTGTTTGTTTGTTTTGGGGTGCTCTCTGGCTTTCTTATATTCTCTAGCAGTGGGACATTGGGGCAGATATAGACATTTGCTGTTTTAAACAGAAATTCTTATTGCATCTGGATGTTGCTCTGAAAAAGGTCAGCTTTCAAGCATAGGTGTAGCAAATAAAGCTGCAGATGTGGAAAGCAGTTTCATATTTACATTTGTGAGGCTTTTTGAGCAGAAAGCACTATTCATTTCTCATATTCATTATGCCCTTCTATCATTCACCTAGATCCTATTTAATTATGTGTTTAATGATCTTCACCCTTCACACGAACACAGCTTGCTGAAGCTTGACTCTTGCAGCAAATTATCATTCATGTCTGGTAGAAGAGAGGAAATATTACTTGGGAAAAGTGCTGTGCTATCTGACTTAAGACTTCAGTCTGTGATATAACTTTGTAGGAGATAATGATGA